ATCTTCTGGGCTGATGGGGAAGATGGGGTATCTTTCATACACCCCAGCAGTGAACTCTACCTGCAGCCTCTGGCAGGTATGGGCCCCCACCCCTCACCAGCTCTGTACTGTGAACTACATTGTTGTGGGCTATTGGTTGTGATACCAGTATGGACATTCTGGAATGCTTGTCAGGTATCCTCTTGCCATGAAATCTATTCAAATACCTGGGGAATCAAGGGTCCCAGAATTGGGAATATTCAGGCTTGACAGAAGTCCTCCAGGCTCCCCCTCTGCCCTGGGTACTTAATGCTATTCCTTGCTCTAAACTCCTGTGCTAGCCAGGTATGGTGGTGAATGCCTGTAACTCCAGTGACTCGGGAATCTGAGGCAGGATCACATATTTAAGGCCAACCTTAAATTCAGCAACATAGTGAAGCCCTAAGCAACTTAAAGAGTCCCTATCTTAAAATAAAGAAATAAAAAGGGCTGGGATGTGGCTCAGTAGTTAAGTGCCCCTGGGTTCAATCCCTAGTACCAATAGATGATAGATAGATAGATAGATAGATAGATAGATAGATAGATAGATATAATAAACTCCTGGGGGAGAATTAACCACATGGTTGGAAAAAGACCTGTGCCCCCAAACTCCTTTCACAATCCTCATCCCCACCATACCATATCAGTTATTTTATTCATAGTCATAGAGAACCATGGAGAGGTGGAAATCCGAAGACACCACAATTGCAGTCATTGCTCTTTGAAAGACTGCCAGTGGCAGGCTGAGCTCCATTTGACTGAATGCATGTGCCCAGAAGGCATGGAGCTAGCTGTGGATAACATCACTTGCAGGGGTATGTCTTGCCTTTTTTTCCAGGTCTGAACTTCTGGGTTTCAGGCTGAGAGGAGCAGCAGGGCACTGGGAAAGATGATATAGATGCCTGATGAGTGCCAGGCACTGTGACAGATACTAGGCAGGGGATTACAGATGGATCAGTGCTTGCTCTGCCTTCAAGAAGTGTGTAGGCCAGTGTGGGAGGTGAGATGGATATTTAGAAATAGATATATAGATATATATCTAAAAATGACAGTTGCAATGGGAGGTGTCAAGTGTTTTAGGGGTTCTCAAGAGGGAGAGTTTGCTTTTGTCTAGAATAATTGGGAATGTCATTGTGGAAAAGTTTACACTGAGCTGAGTTTTGAAGCATGGTTAAGACTTAAGGGTAGAGGGACATGGAACTTGCCGTTGAAGTTTTCTCTTTCTTTCTAGACCTGCCAACCGCCTCAAGCCCACTGGTTCTGATGGTGGCTGTAGTGGTGACCTTGATACTGAGCCTCCTTATGGTGTGTGGGGTCCTGATTTTGGGTATGGAGCATCTAGTTGGCATGGCTGATCCAGTGCTACCTCTTCTCCACTGAGCTGTGATGGGCTGTAATGGGTCCCAGGGTCATATGTGACTGACTTCAGAACCCCTTTTCCCCTCCAGCGGACTCCTCTGGTTTTCAAAGAGTAGAAACAGCTGGAGAGGCCTGGGGAAAACATCTACTTGAATGGGCAACTGGAAGTGTCCTAGGCAGGGGGAGGCAGAGTAGGATTGATGGACAAGTACAGGGAATACCTGTGTTCTTCCTATTCTCAGTGAACCGGAAGAAGTGGCAGGGCCTATGGGGGTCCAGGCGGCCAGATCCTGAGCTTGAGCTGAGCAAGCTTCGAACCTCTGCCATCAGGACAGCCCCCAATCCCTATTACTGCCAGGTAGGGCTTGGTCTGACCCAGTCGTGGCCTCTGCCCCCAGGGCTCACCGAGGTTTCCCCAGCCAATGTCACTCTGCTCAGGTGAGTCCCCCACCACTTTCTGAAAACTGTTGTGCTCTGAATCCCCACCTCTGATCCTCTCCATCCTGTGGTAGATTATGGATCAATTATGGTGCATTTGAGCAATCAATTTAAACCTCTTGTGTAGGGGATGAAGGCCCATACAAGCTGTAAAAGGAGAGAGGGCAGGATCAACTCTCTGCCCCAATTCTGGAATGATAAGGACCTTAGAATATGACTCTTCTGGAGCCCAAGGATTGCCACCCTTCCAGGGTGTTTGCAGCACCATAACTGAAGGCCTCATCTCCTGGAGTGGGGGCACACACCTGTAATCCTAGCAACTTGGGAGGCTGAGGGAGGAGGATCACAAATTTGAGGCTAGCCTTAGCAACTTAGCAAGACCCTGTCTCAAGATTAATAATAATAATAATAATAATAAAAAGGACCAGGGATATAGCTCAGTGGTAAAGCACCCGGGGTTCAATCCCCAGTCAAAGGAAAAAAAATAAATAAAAGGCCTTATCACAGCCTTCCACCCCAACTCCCATTCCATTTGTCTGCTCTCTGCCTCAGCTCTGTGTGAGTTAGCACCACTCTTCTAGGGCTTGTGCTTGGAGACATCCATGATGCAGAGAGAGGTCAAATAGGGTCATCAGGGTACATAATGGGACAAAGCAGTTAACCCTCTGGGACCCTTCTCTGTGTCAGCTACCCACTCTCTTCCAACCTGTCTTCCTGCAGAGCCCTGGGCCACGGTGCCTTTGGGAAAGTGTATGAGGGATTGGTAATTGGCCTTCCTGGGGACTCCAGCCCCCTACAGGTGGCAATCAAGGTGAGGGGGTAGGGCTTCTGGTTGGTTGTAGGAGAATAGGGCACCACAGAAGGATGCACAATTGCTAGAGCTATGGTGAACTGCACTCATGGTTTCCAGAGGAACTCAGAACTTTGCTTTTCCTCCCCAGACTCTGCCAGATCTCTGCTCTCATCAGGATGAGTTGGATTTTCTCATGGAGGCGCTCATCATCAGGTGCCCCTGGGGCTTGTGCATAGAGGTGGGAAAGCCCAGTTTCACCTGCAGAAATGGCCTCCCCTGCATTCTGGGGTTAAGAGGTAGCATATTTAGGGACACAGGGTCCTCTGCATTTGTGCAGAACTTAGAACATGTTTCTCTCCCTGCTGGTGATGGGGTATGTGCACTACTTGATTCAGCAAGTTCAGCCATCAGAACATCGTGCGCTGTGTGGGGCTCAGCCTCAGGGCTGTGCCTCGCCTCATTCTGCTGGAACTGATGTCTGGAGGGGACATGAAGAGTTTCCTGAGGCAGAGTCGTCCCAACCTGGTGAGACACTACTTCCAGCCCTCCAGGCCCCTCTCAAGACTCTGTCACATGTGTCCACAGACTTGCATGGACTGATGTGTACTTTGCCTGATCCAGGGTCAGCCATCACCTCTGGCCATGCAGGACCTGCTGCAGCTGGCCCAGGACATAGCCCAGGGCTGCCACTACCTTGAGGAAAATCGCTTCATCCACAGGTTAGGAGCAATCCTGGCTCAGAGGACTCCCAGCCCAACTCATTCCCCAAGGAATAACTCTTGCACATAACTTTTAAGGAAATAGATCAGGAAGGGCCAGAGCTTCTCAATTCTGAAAGAGATCTTTTGCCCTATTCTACAGGGACATTGCCGCCAGGAACTGTCTGCTGAGCTGCACTGGACCCAGCCGTGTGGCCAAGATTGGGGACTTTGGGATGGCAAGAGATATCTACCGGTGTGAAGCCTGGGGAAATGGGAAACTGCTACTCCAAGGGGGTTTACCAGCACCTTGATGGTATTTGAACACTTGTCACTCTCCTCCCTCCTGTAGGGCCAATTATTACCGTAAGGCAGGGCAGGCCTTGCTCCCAGTCAAATGGATGCCCCCAGAGGCCCTTCTGGAGGGCATCTTCACATCGAAGACAGACTCCTGGTGATGAGATATTCTCCCTTGCACTTTTCTACCCTGCTTTGAAACTAATCCTGTCCTTCGGTGGCTGCCTGGTTTGTGGGAAGGGTTGGTTGGACCTGATGGGCCTCACTTGTCTCTCCGACTTACAATGCAGGTCTTTTGGTGTACTGCTCTGGGAGATCTTCTCACTGGGTTACATGCCCTACCCTGGGCATACCAACCAAGAGGTGCTGGACTTCATCATTGCAGGGAGCCGGATGGACCCTCCTCAGGGATGTCCAGGGCCTGTGTGAGTTTAGAGCACTACCCAGGAAGGGAGGTCCCTAGAGACCATGGTGGCCACAAATTCCTGCCTTCCTCCAGGTACCGCATCATGACCCAGTGTTGGCAGTATCAACCTGAACTCCGCCCCAACTTTGCCAGCATCTTGGAGCGCCTTCAATACTGTACTCAGGTATGCCTCTTAATAATGATTTTCCCCATAACCCCTCTGACCAGCTTGGCCTTGTGAATCAGGAAGAAAGCCCTAAAACTACTCTGCGGCCCACTGTTCCCCTACCTTCCCGTTACAGGACCCTGATGTGCTTAATTCACCACTGCCAATGGAACTAAAGCCCACTCTGGAGGATGAAGGGGCTTCTAGCCTGGGGAACAGGTCCTTGGAGGGCCTAAGATCCCCACAACCCCAGGACCTGAGTCCAGAGAATTTGAAAAACTGGGAAAGGAGGCCTCTTGGCCCTCACCTATCCTCTGGCCTCAAGCCCCTCAAATCCCAAGGTCTCCAACCTCAGAATCTTTGGAATCCCACCTATGGCTCTTGGGTCCCAAGGGACCCTGATTGAGGACTCAGACACTGTTCTTAGCAACTGCTCCTCCCTGTACCCCTTTCCAGGCTTCTAGTGCCTTGTTAGTCCAGTAGCCTCTGTTCCCCTGCAGTCTGTGCTGTATGTCTGGACCTGTCTCAGGGCAGTCCTGGCAGCACTGGATTTTTATGCTAGAAACCAGCCCCAGGCCTCTTGGGGAAGGGCCTAGCTACTCCCAGCCTTTGGTCTTTGGGACCAGAAGCCATTCCCTCACACCCCAGTTATGGTGGGGAGTGTGGATTACCCTCTCCCCACATCTTTTATCTCCAACCCCATAGATATTTCTAATAAAAAATTCTTTTTACACCTTCCAGTGATCTGAGTGGACATGAAATATTTTAGAACTGAGGAAAGGAGTCCAGAGGAGGGAGTGGATGAGGCCTGAGTCACAAAACTGAGTCTTTGAGTTTTATTAGGAATGAGGAGTCCATTGTAGTGTGGGAAGTTAGACCAATAGGTCTAGACCTGTGAAATAAAATCTTTTACCTGGCCCCTCTGGAGAGGTACAAAGCTGCCTCAGAAGAGCTGGGCTGGCGAAGGAGCCCATGGTTCCCCTCCCCTCCTATAAAATTAGTGTCATTAAGCTCTGGGAACACTGGGGCTCAGTGGAGGCCAATTCTGGGTGTTGGCAGTGCATTCCCTTAGTGGTTGGCACCTGGCCCTGCAGGACTGAATGAACTGCCCGCCCAGCGGTATTCCTGTCTCTTGCTGGCATGCACAGTGGGGATGCAGCTGCAGGTCCACATCTGTCTGACTGTTGGCCCAAGTGTTGGGACAAAGGGTTGGCTTCATCTCTCAGCAAGACTGGCCAGGATGGTAATGAGATTGTCCAGCCCCAGCAAATAGCCGTCCTCACGGTTGCCCTCCTCCCAGGGCCGCCGGTGGTCCAGGATCTGGCCATCGGGAAGGGGTGTGGTCTTGCCAAAGTCGATGAGCCACACGCCGGCTCGATGGCAATGATCATGCACAAACAGGAGCGAGCTGCCAATCACCTGCCAAGCCCCAACAGTCAGGCCTTTTCCTGAAGAAGTCCCCCAACTCTTTTCCCACTCTAACCACCATAGACCCAGCACCTGAGCACACTAGCCTCTTACCTCATGCCTCCTAAAGAACTCAGAGACCTCCAGGGTATCTCGGATCTGCTGCAGACGGTTCAGATACATCCTCTGGAGAGGGTAGAGTAGGCAAATTAATTTTACAAGCTAAGGAAGTCCTGCTAACATTAGGAGCCATGATGCATTTTCAGCTTGGCAAATATGGTTGTGAGACTCCCCTGCATGGCTCGGGAGGGAAGGAAATACAGCAATTACAACAATTAAATAAATGCTACCAGGGGAAGTCACATAGGCAAAGGCACTGGAACAGGTGACCAGGAGGCACCCTTGGCTTCAGATGCTTCAATATATCAGGATTCTGGGATCAGGTTCTCACCAGCACTTCTGCATCGCCTTGTACAAACTCCTCAAAGACGCGAGTCACTTGCTCCCGGCTTCGTGTAGTCTTGAAGTCGGTGCTGCAGGAGCCATCTGCTTTCTGAAGGAGGTGGGCAGGGAGTGTCAGAGGCTCTGACCCGCATGGGGTGGCGGGAAGAGAATCATGCCAGGGCAGCAATACCTCCCAGGACATTAACTTCTAGGGACAGTGAGACCGCCGCCAGAGGGCGTCGCTCGGTGCTGCTGGTGGAGTGGTCAAAAAAGGGGGAAGAACACCAGCCCGGCGAAAGGGGCTGGGATGAAACAAGGGCCCAGACGTTGAGGTGCAAAGCAAAGTGGGCCTGGCCCACCTTGATGCCCTCGATACGGAAGCCAAGCGTGGTACTGGAACTGATGCCTTCCCGCCACTGCATGTAGCGAGGCTTAGTGACAGCCCGTTGCGCATGCTCCTCCTCAGTGGGTGCTGCAGGATCCACCGCCAGCATCTTCTTGTACATGTCCTTCCGAAGTTTGGGCCGCTCTCTGGCCTTGGTCAGTTCCTCTTCCAGGTAAGTCCTGCGGGAGCACAGACAGGAAACAGGATGTGAGGTGCGGGCACCAGGACCCCAATCTAGTACTTGCCTTAGGAACTGAATTGAGCGATTGTCCCAGCCCACGTTGGTTCCTCTTGGCCCAGCAGGGCATGCAAACCTGACGCCCATCTTGCAGTCAAGCACGCAGGGTCCGTCGAAGCCATCAAGCAGGTCCTGCAATTGCAAGTAGCTTTCGCCGTCGCGTTCAACAACGCCATGGAAGGCGGGCACACAGCCACGCAGCGCATCAGCCATCAGCCGCGCCAGGCAATAGCGCTCAGGCTCCGAGCTGCGCTTCAGGATCAGTCCACTCGTGCCAGCAGCCTTGAAACTCCCTGCGGAAGGGCACCAGTTAGTGCTACTCAGTCCCTTCCAGTCTCAGTAACCCTCCCCACGCACTGGTCCCGGCAGTGATTCTCACTTACCTGTGTGTCCCGCCAGCTGCACCCAGGCATAGCGCTTCTTGAAAGGGCTCATGACTGGCAGATTCACCATGGTCCGGATCTTTTGCCAGTGGCTTTTCTGAAAGCAACACGGGCCCAGTCTGCAAACTGGTGTCTCAGTAATGCATAAACGTTTTCCACTGGAATAGGGCCTTGTCCTGACCCCAACCCAGTGGAAGCAGCTGGGGTCACACAATTTCATTTACTCATCCATTCATTCAGGGAGTTTATTGTGGGGCAATGTGGTGGGCACTGAAGCAGACATAGAGAACCTGATTTCAGTTTCTCCAATAAGCTGAAAAGAGCCCTGGACCTAGTGTCAGAAAGCTCAAGTTTATGCCTCAGCTCTACCACTCAGAAGTTACTTTGGGTGGGTTACTAAATTGCACTATCAAGGTTTTTCAACTTTTGTGAGCATGGAAACAACTTGATGATCACCCTTGTTACAGATTTGAGGCTCTATGAGTCTACTGCAGGGAAACTCTGAGTAGGTCTGGAATGTAGCCAAAAATTTGCATTTCTATCAATGCTTCAGAAGATTCTAGGGCCTGAGAAACAAGCCTTTGTGTGTCAGTCTTTTCATCTATAAAATGGAGAAATAACTACACTTTCTGGGTTGTTGGGAGTAGTAAATGAGTCTTGGGTGTGATATGCGCTCAGCTCCCTGGGGCATCTCATTCCGTGGTGTGAAGCAGAAGATGGACAAATCTGGATCACCAATTAATTCACTAGGGACCTCAGTTCCTTTCATTTAGGGAACAAATAGAATCAACCTTTTGGGGTCTAGGGCATGGATGCCAGCCTGCCAGGGCCTGAGAAAGTTTTGCAGTTCCCCAAGACTCTCAGTTGTCCCTGGATTCCGTGCATTCCTCACTTGTTGGCGAAGCCCAAGTCACCCTTGGTTCTGATCTGAACCCAGAAATCTAAGCCTGAAAATAGGAAGCAAAGCTGAATACCTGTCAGACAAAACTGACTGAGAGAAGTAGATTTTGGGGGATGTACCCCTTGCGTTATGAACATTGCTTAGGCCTTCATCCAATCCTGAAAGCAGACAACTGGGACCTTTCTGTTTCTTACCTCGGACTCAGTAGTCCTATGTCTGCTCTCTGAAGTGCACAGGTTTGCTTATCTGTGTCTATTGCCTTCTCACAGGGATGCCTGCCATTTAAAGGAGATACACGTGTATGTCCCCATAGGACTGGAACCCAGTCCTATGCCAAGAGGAAATTCTAAGAGGGAAAAGGAGAACAGAGGAGGTGGCCTAAGTAGTGAAAGGCTGCTAATCATAAAGCCTTTCACATGGTGACAAAGCCCTGGGTGGGGAGTGAACAGTGGGTTCCAGTTCTAACTTTGTCACTTTTTAGCTGAGTGAAGCCACACAAATTATATGTATGGGTCTGTGTTCTCTGGGTTGACATAGTGACTGCCCTAACATGAGCTCCCATTTACTAACTGCTGACTGCTTGCCAGGCACTTTCTCATCTTCCCTTAGACAGTGTTGCTCTCGCTTTCCTACTAAAGTCCCTACATGGCGCAGTAGGGCATAATCACATGTCCAATCCGTGGGGAACTGGGGGTGTAGCCAGAAGCAGCCCACTAGAAGCATGACATCTCTTTCAAAACTCCCTTTTAAAATCTTTAAATACATACAAGGCTTGCATTTTCCTGCATAATAAATCCAAGTTTTATTATAAAACTCCCCACCTCCAAATCCTTAAGTAAAATTCCAGGAAGATTATTTATGTACCATATATATTCAGCAGCATTGTCCCAGACCCCCTTCTCTCACATTCCATTTGGGAATCTTGATGATGATAATTCCCAGGCACAGCAAATACATGAGTTGATATTATTAGTCCCATTTTGCAGGAGAAAATCAAGGCTTATAGGAGTTAATTTTGTGTGTGTGTGCTGCTGGGGATTGAACCTAGGGCCTTGGGGATACTAGACAAGTGCTTTACCACTAAGCTATATCACCAGCTTTCAGAGAACTTAGCATCCCCTTATTCCTTGGCCCTAACTCCCCATTTCTGGTTGAAGCTGTCTACTTGTCCACCTCCCTCCCCTGATCCAGTTTCTCCAGAAGGTTTCAAAGTTCATGCTATCGTCCTATCTCCCTTTATGGAGTCAAATGAGGTACCATATAAGAGAGAGATTTGTACAAGGTAAAATGATTTGCAGCTTTAAAGAGCTAGGAGGGTTTTGATTTCTGAGGGAACACTGAGATTAGCCTGGGGACTTCTCCCTACTGGCTAGACACCTTTGCTTTCATGTAAAGTCATGGTTTTAAAAGTGGGAACTTCAGGCAGTTTTAGGGGCCTGTCAGCAAAATTTGGGGAATAGTAGGACCAGAGTGAATTTAGCAATAGCATAACAACTAGTTCTATAGCTACCCTAGTAAAAGGGGAAAGCAGCTTGGATTAGTTCTCCAAAGCCTTCTTGGATACATTCATTTGTGAATGTATTATACTTCATGGGGGAGTTATCTCCCTAAGATAGAAGATGGCAGTTACCTCCCTAAGATAGAATATTCCTTCTGGGGTCATGTGGAAGGAAGCATTGAGGGGTCTGGAAGGTGGAAGGTAGGCCTGGGTGAAGAGGGTTTGATATGGTATACTTCAACTTGGTTCATGTATGATAACAGCATCAGATTGCTCACAAGTTGAGGTGAAATGAAACCATTACCTACTCTTCCTATCCTGGTTTTGTGAGTCTCACATGAGCCAAGAGCAGCAGTCACTATGACTGGTTCTAGCTATGTAGGAAACAAAGGGCTTCCATACCCATTGTTTCAGGTGAACCCTCCTGAGGTTTCTTTGACAGGATTTATCTCCCTTGCCAGTAACAGATATGGTCAAGCATGGAAAGAGTTGATGCAAATATCATGAACCCCAACTGGCTACCATCTTCTATCTTAGGGAGATAACTCCCCCATAAAGCATAATACATTCACAAATGAATGTATCCAAGAAGGCTTTGGAGAATCATTCTTCAGTGGGTGGTTAGGTTGGTAAGTGGGTGGGAATTTTGGCTCATGAACAACGGCAGGGAAGATATTTTTGAACAGGTAAGACTTTCATTGTATGGGCATCAGAAAGCAGATTTTTAATGTTACAGAGTGAAATCTAGCTGCCAAGGAGGCCAAAACCCCATCCTTTGCTCCATGGAGATGCCCTTGGAAACCTACACACAGCCAGAAACTACCTGGGTATCTGAGGGCAATAATCAGAGGAGCCGATTGTGTGAGACACTCCTTGATGAAGTCACAAGAGGCCCCCTGGTAATCCCCACTGCTAGGGCTGAACAAGGAATATGTGCTACTGGGCTGAGCTTAGCTGGATACTAGCACCAGACCCTCTCTAATCTAAACTCTATTTGGAAGCCTTAAAGACACTTGTTCCTCATATCACCCCAGACTCTCAGCCTATCTCCTACCAAAACAGATCATTTGCTGTCTTCACTTTCGTTCTGGGGCTCCAGTCAGTCATACAGCTCTCTGCCAGCCCAGCACCCTCCCCATGTTCCAATTGTCCTATCAAACTAGCACTCCCTGTGGTGGTGGTAGGGAGAGCAATCAGTTTAAATTTATACAATGATTTGCACTAAGGTATAAATTGACCCACGACTTCACCTTCCCATGGGCATTTGCTTTTTAAAAAGGAAGTCTGTTAACCTAAATTCTACTCTATAATTAGTGGAAAGTGATGTGTGGGGGTTCTCAGTCCAGAAGGGGACAGCATCCAGGTCTCCTTACCTAGCCTGGAGCACTGAGAGAAGAAAAACAGATGAACAAGAGCCAAGCACCCTCTGTTCTGCTAGAACTACCCCTCACAATTGTTTGAGGAGGCAGGTGTAAGAATATCATGACAACTACCCTTGGGGAAAGGCCTCCAACTACTCTTCTTGGCATGTCTGGGTTTCACTGATCCTGACTCTTCCCTGTACCAGAGGAAAGGCCATCAAAGAAAGGGAGGCTGCCCATTTCCAAATATCCTGCTCTAGACAGGCTTTACAGGATGCTTGGAGGTCTAGGGGAAGGTTGCATGCACCAGAATGAAGCAGGCAGAATCTCCCCTGACCTTGGTCGGTTCAGGCTACAATGTAAGGGGCTGGCCATCTGAGAGTCCTAGAGTGGGGCCACAGTACCCTTTCCTTAGGTGCATCCTTCACAGTCAGCCTGAGGGTTCTGCTTCCTGCTAGGGGAAGCCCTAAAAATGGCCTGGGCGGGCGTGCTGTGCAGACTGCGGGACCCGCGGTGTGAGGCAAAGTCCGTTCAGGGCCCTTCCACGCGGACGCAGGCAACCTCTGTCAACAGCCCCTGGCTTATCTGCTCTGTGGTGGCTGTTTGCCTTCAGGGAGGCCCCGCCGGGCTGGGGGTTGGGAAGGCCTGTAAGACGCAGCCTTGGAACTAGAAGGGCCCTCAACAGCTCCTGGCGTCGGGAGAAGCAGAGACTCGGGGTGGGAGAGGTCGACCTGAGGTTGGTCTTCCAAGTCTTGACCCAGCCGAGGCTGCCTACAAACTGCATGCAGGCTTGGGCTGTGGTACCTCTTCCAGGCAATACTGCCGCCCCCCCCCCCCCCACCCCCAGCCGCAGCTTGGCTGGATCCCATGGGCGGAAGAGGCTAATGGGGTGTGCCTCGCGCCCCCACTGGTCGCGCCCTTTCTCCCTGAGTCCGCCTCTCAGGTGTCAGAGATTTGAGCGGGGGAGTAGCCTACCTACTGCTCAGGTTGAGGAGCGGTGGGAGGGGTCCGGTCGTTCTTCTATATTCCACTGCCTTGGAAACTCTCGGCGGCACATAGGCCAGTGTTGGCTCAGGATCCATCATTGGTCAGGGGGGTAAGCTTACCCGCCGAGGAAGAAGGATGCGACAGGCTCGTGACTGAGCCCCGCGCCTACACCTGACAGCGGAGGGGTGTTCCTTCTGTGAGGTTTTTTTTTTTTTTTTTTTTTTGTGTGTGTGTGTGTGTGTGTGTGTGTCTTACCCACCGCTCTCTGGGTATTGTAAATCTCCGAGGTTCTCTGAGTCACGGAGCCATTGAAAGTTGTTATATGGTCGGTCTCCCCCACCTCGTCCAATCCGAGTGTATAGCGCAGCTCCGGTCCAAAGGGACCAGGCCGTGTCCCAGCACTCTTCCCGCAGCGTCCAGGCAACCCCAGCGTGCGTCCGCGGCTTTCACCCCTAGTCGTCAGGACCCGGTGTTTTGGACAGGCTTGGAGACACTGGGGCGCCCCTCGCTTATGCCTCAGCTCCCGGGATACTTGCGTAATGTGGATCTAGAACAATTCCATACTGACTGCGTGCAGTTAAAGAATTTGGTCTTGGTCAAAACCAGGGCGACAAGGCAGCTATCCCAGGAGGCACACATCCCTAAGGAGCGGACACCAGGAATGACTTCACCGCACTCTGGCCTGTTATCCGAGGGTCAAATTTGGTTCCAGAATATCCAGACTATCCAGAGGCAGTGACTACAGATACTGCTCCTGTCCCCTTTCAGCCTCAGTTTACCTTCTCCTGTGCCACGTGCAGGAGCTGTAAACCGAGGACATTGGGGTGTGTACCAGGTGGGCTGCATTCCGCTCCCTGCCAGAGCTCCAGCCCTGCGCATTCCTTTCCTGCGTCCACGCCTCGTGCGGGCGCCGGGAGCAGACGGCAGCGGCTCCGGAGCAGAGCCTGGAGCGCCGTTCCACTCCCACTCAGGAGAGGGAAACCGTGGCAACGGCGGGGGTGGGGCAGCGGCACCGAGAGGAGGCGGGGAGAGAGGGAAGCGTTCATTTGTCCCCCTAATTCCGAGGGTTCAGGAGGCAAGACTAAGGCTCCTTTGATCCCCCAGTGCTACCTCTCTGCCACCAAGGTATGAGCCCTCACCTCGCCCGTTCTCCACAGCAGGTCGCGTACTCCTCATCCCACTTAGACGCCCCAGGGCCCGGCTGGGACCAGTCTGCGGAGTGGAGGTGAAAACTGCCAAGGCGAGAGGTCCGCCTGGCTCCTCCCTCCGGCCCCCATGTTCCTCCTTAACAGTGTGAATTGGACCCTCAACCCAGGAAGCGTGGGACAGAAGTTGGTCGTACAAGAGCTCAAAGCTGAGTCCCCAAAGCGCAGCCCGGGTGCCCAGAGCTGGCCCCGCCCCCGCGGCCCGTACCTGAACCACCTCCTCGCCTGTTTCCAGCTGCACGTTGCCGCGGCTCCGGCTCTCGCTGTCGCTCAGCAGGTCGTCCTCCGAGTCCTCAAGCAGCGACGAGGAGCCGGTGGAGGAAAGTGACGAGGTGGAAAGGCGCCGTGGCTGTTGCAGGTGCGAGCCCACTGCCGGGAGCCAGTCACCCTCCGGCTCGGGCGGTCCAGGGCTGGCCGGGGGTAGGTCCGGTTCCTCGGCTGTCACGGTCAGCTGCGGGATCACCGGGGCTGGGGGAGCCCGCGGAAGCCCGTTTGGAACCTGTCCCCCACGCCGCTTGGCCCCACGGGCCCGGGGTTCCCCGGCAGCGGCGGCGGCAGCAACCGCGGCGCAGCGCGCCTCGAAGAGCAGGCGCAGCTCTCCGACACTCCGGCGCGGGGCCCGCTCCAGCCCGGGACTGCAGGACCCGGCGCTCCCCGATCGCGCCATGCCCGTCGGGCCTCCGGGAAGGGTCATTTCCCGGCACTGGAGCAGCAACTGAGCCCACCAGCCCGCGGCGCGGCGGGGACTGAAGACGCTCAGCGCCTCGGGCTTGAGACTGCCCCGGGGCGGAGCCTGAGCCGCACCAGTTTGGGCCCCGCCTCGGCCGCGCCCCCCGCCCACTCCTTTCACTTTCAGAGAAAGCGCGGGCCTCCCTGGGCCCTTGCGTGGCTGGGAAGGCTTTGGGTTACCCCTTCTGGTAGCAGGGAATCCCTAACACTGGCTGCACAAAACTCGGGCGTGGCCCAGGCGGCCTCTCGACCCGCCCTCGAGGCGGCGGGAGGGGCCGCTCCACTTCTGGGCCTTACTGTCTTTCTCGGATTTGGAACTGGGAAAAATTCCTCCAGTCGACTCCGAGGACCCTGACCCCACCAGGAAGGAACTGCTCCTGCTTTCACTCAGTTCCTCTGACTCCTTTCCTTATTCATCCAAGGCAAAGTTTTCCAAGTCTCTGAGGCTTTTCTCCAGCCAGGGCCCTAAGCACAGAGTTCAAGGCCATCAGCTTCTCAAAGAATCCCCACCCCAGGGCGTAAGCCCAGTTCGAGACTCTGTCACGGGGTCCAATTGAGGCTGCTCCCCAACCCCCATCCTATGAAGCTCCCCACTTCCTGGCGGGCAGAGGACAAGGTCGGGAGGCGGAGCCTGGATTTCTCCAAGTGTCCCAGTCTAGTCCCGGGCTTCATTCCCTCCCCACACACACACACCCTCTGGCAGTGCAGAACCCTTCCTCCTCCTCCCCCTCCTCCTCCCCCTCCCCTTCTCCCTCTCCCTTTGGAGCTCTGGGGCTTGGTGTCTACTGTGTGACTTTAAGCAAGTCATTTCACCTCTGCTTATTCTCCTTTGCATGGTTACTGTCCACTTTACAAAGTTACTATGAGAATAAAATAAGATTAAATGTAGGCTAAAAAAAATGTGGGCTGAAAATATATAGCTCACCAGTAATTTGCCTAGCATACACAAGGCCCTGGATTCAATCCCCAGCACTGAAAACAACAGCAGCAGCAACAACAATAAAATAGGTATGAAATCTAAAACGAGATGCTTTTTAGTGTGATGCTAGATGGAATTTTAGGCAGTTGTTCAACACTTGAGTTCATTTCCTCACTTTTAATTGTAGGAAAACCTCACAGACCTGAGTTGGGGCTGGACTACTTGGAAGAGAGTGCTGATACTGAAATTTCAGACATTGCAAAGCACGGATTAGTGTCATTAGTGCTGTTTAGGTCTTTGGCTTCCTTACATGTTGGTGGTCAACTTAACTGAACTGCAAGGCTGCTTTGAGATGCCAGTATTTTCTGCTTTCCCCCAAATGCCCAAGGATCCCCCATCAGGCACCTATAGCTCTGGATTTTTGAGGTCCTGAGGAGAGGCAATTCCTAGAAGGATTGCCTCCAAGGCTTACTAAAGCCACAGGAGGATTTGCCTTCCCGTTTCTTTCCTTTTTTTTTTTTTTTGGTACTGGTTATTGAACCCAGAGGTGCTTTACCACTGAGCCACATCTTAAGTTCCTTTTTGTTTTTTATTTTGAGACAGGGTTCCACTAAGTTGCTGAGAGTCTCGCTAAATTGCTGAGGCTAGTCTTCAATTTGCTATCCTCCTATCTCAGGCTCCTAACCCATTGGGATTACAAGTGTGCACCACTACTCCAAGCTTGCCTTCTCTTTTCTCTCTTCAGCCAGGACTCAAAATGGTTCAAGAATAGGGAAAAGGAGGGTTCAGAGGGAGAATGGGAAACTTCAGCAAAGAAGAAAGAAGATGCTGGGGAACTGAAAAATGAAGCAAATGTTGGGGAAGAAAAAGATGTGGGAAAAAAGAGTGGGAAGGAGAAATGGAATGAAGGAATGAGAGAAAAAAAGGAAATACAGATATTTGAATACCTGACTGCTCTGTGAAATCACATGGATAGCTTCTCTGGAACATGGAGGTCTGAAGGAAACTGGGTGTGTATTCAAGGGATATACTCAATAGCTTGAAGGCCTGGAAACACCCATGTTCTAACCCTCACTTCCCTCCTTCCTCAGGAACTGTAGCAGGAGGTGGGAAGGAGCTGTACTCAGAGGGTGGGCTGGGGGGCAAACCCAGGACCTGCCAGAGTTGGCAAGGGAGGAAGAAAAACTAGGAGAGGAAACATGTACTACATACCTATGGACCAGGCCATGTATGGGTAACGCTGGAGGTAAAAGTAGGAGGGGTCTGGGTCTCTGACCCAACTGCTAAGAGAAAACACAGGGGCACAATTCCTTTTCTTCTTGTATTAGGCACTTGCCCAAGTCTTAGGTCTACCACACTAAAAACCCCCAAATTACTCTTTTTTATTTCTTAAAAATTATAAATATTGTCCTTTAAAAGACAATATCAAGCCGGTGCAGTAGCACACGCCTGTAATTCCAACAGGAGGCTGAGGCAGGAGGATTGCGAGTTCAAAGCCAGCCTCAGCAAAAGTGAGGGACCCAAAAAAGAGAGAGACCCTCTCTCTAAATAAAATACAAAATAGGGCTGAGGATGTGGCTCAGTGGTTGAGTGCCCCTGAGTGCCTCAATTCCCAGTACAAAAAAAAAAAAAAAAAATATATATATATATATATATATATATCAATAAAGTAAAAAAGGTTAATCCATAGAATGTGAGAAAATATGTCCAAATCATATATTTGATAAAGAATTGAGACCCGGGGGCTGGGGATATAGCCCAGTTGGTAGAGTGCTTGCCTTGCATACACAATGCCCTGGGGTTCAATCCCCAGTACCAAAAAAAAAAAAAAGAATTGAGACCCATAATGTATAGAATACTCTTAAAATCAACAACAAAACAACTTGATTAAGAAATGGGAAAAAGTTTTCTTTTTTTTATCCAAAAATCACTCTTTGCTGTGCCTGCCCAGATGTCCCTCACTGGACAGGTAGGGTCACACTGAGAAACAGGTAAACTGAGAATTAATCTGGTAGATTTTTAGAGCAGAAATCAGCCTTAGATGCATGTGTCCTCACATTACAGAATATAACAAAAGTGAAGTGATACAGTCAGGAATGTTAGAGTGCTTGCGCAAAGCCAAAGCTCCTTGGTGGAAAAGTCAGTATTTTCTTATAAGGACCCCCTGATTTTCATTCCTGTGCTATGCTATTTTTTGTCTTAGTTTGGTACTGGGACTCAGTGGTATTTTACCCCTGAGATACATCCCCAGCCCTTGTTTTATCTTTTATTTTGAGACAGGGTCTCACTAAATTGCCCAGGCTGGCCTAGAACTTTCAACACTGCCTTAGCCTCTGGAGTAGCTAAGATTACAAGTGTACACGACCATAGCCAGCTACTATCCCAATATATATATTGTAGTTGTAGATGGACAGCATGCCTTTATTTTGTTATTTTTATGTGGATCAAACCCTGTGCCTCACATGTTGGAGGCCAGCACTCTGCCACTGAGCTACAGCCCCAGCCCTACTTCACCCACTTTTGATGGCTGAATAGAAGGGATGTGGAGAAAATCAGACTGATCAATAGATAGGTAGAGGCAATGGCTAGCATTGAAAAAAAAAAAATAAGAGCAGGGGTGGGGTGAGCTGGGGCATAAGAGAATGTGTCAAAATTTTGGTGCTTATCAGTTGGCTGTTTTTAAATAGGTCGTGAGAATTACTGTCTTGGCCACAGGCCAGCTCCATGACTGATGAGCAACCTGTCTTCTGGTGGCATCTCAGCTGGGAAATCCTCCTCCACCTTAGAGGTTTGCTTTTTCAGATGCCTAAGTCCTCACTCATCTCTCTCTGGTGGCTTCAGGATTCCCGGGTCCTAAGTGCTGCATTCCTCCTGGAGAGAAAAAAAAAAAAAAAAACCTAGGGCATGAAAGCTGAGAAAGAGGAGGTCCTGGGAAATGAGACTACAATGTGAGAAGTTTTGGGGTGGGGGTCTTCCTAATATATCTCTGCTCTACCTCTACCCCATTCCCAGGGCAACACCAGTGGTTCCAGGGTCAGGAGCAAAACCACTACTCACCACATCCTGCCAGGCAAATCACCAGTTTCTGCTTCCTAAGACTGAAAATGGGTCTCTCACCTGGGGAGAGAAAGGGATACACAGCCTCTGACCTGTGCTGTGGAATGGAGGAGGCACCTGTTGCTTTGAGACTTGAACACTTTTCTCTAAGGGAGCAGAACTCTGTGGTGAAGAAGAGTAGAGGGGTTGGACTGTCATGATAGTCTGAAACAGGGGGTACAGGGTCTCACTGTAGTAATAATCAGTCATGCTCTGTGGGACTTGGTATCTTTCCAAGAAACTTTCTGAACCCAAGATTCCAATATTCTATGGTGATACTTGTGATTCATGCATTTATTCACAGCAAACAAACTTCCATTGAGAAGCTGCTGTGAACCAGATATTGTGCTAGGTGCATAAGATATAGAAATAAATAAACCCTTACTGGGAGTGATGACTTTTTTATTTTGTATTGTTTTATAGAAGAAGGAAACTAGAAAGGATCCAACCAGAAGATAGTTTCCACTGGCCATCTTTAAATTTTGTCCCAGTGGATTGTCAGGGAGGCCCTGGGAATTCTTGGTCTCTCAGCTGCTTCATGTATCCAAAATATTTCCCAGGGGCTGGGGTTGTGGCTCAGTGGTAGAGCACTTGCCTAGCATGTGTGAGGCAATGGGTTCAATTCTCAGCATCACATATAAATAAATAAAAATAAAGTTCTATCAACAACAACAAATATTTCCCAACTCTGGTCCCTCTGACTTCCCTTCTCTGCCCAGGGCATATTAAAGAGGGGACCGTAAGTCTGACCAGAGCCAGGGCTCAGTGAAAACTTCAGGATGGGAAAGAACAGGAGACCTCCTTTCTCCTTGAAGAGGATTGAATGGCTGTCTTCCCTTGAAGTGATGTGTCCTCAACTCCAACCCCAAACCCTTTTCCTTGCCTCTGGATTTTGCCTTTTCCCCTGTAAGTTCCCCCACCCCAGTACTGGGGATTAAACCCAGGGGTGCTTTACTACTTACTGAGATATATCTGCCACATCCCCACTCCCCGTTTTT